TTACCATTTTTATTTTGAAGGCATGACATGATCATTTATGGGCACCAAGACAAACCATTTTGTAACAAACAAAAAGCTTTTTTGTAGAGGTTTTTAAGGGTATGATTTGGTGGTTTTAAAAATGTGAATTAGTCACAACAAGCTCCAAATGCTCCCAACATGGACGCCTAACGGCCCAACCTCCGTCAAAAATAAGGGGCTCCTTGCTCTTTAAAATTTACGGGACCAAGGAGCCCCTCAGTTTGGCCCACCATAAGCTCCCCAGATTGTCGAACATGGCCGAAAATGGAGGCTACAACATTCCGACTAACACCAGCTTGCACGCCCAAGGTCCACATAAAGTATCGTTTTTGCTCCTTTACAATTGCCTTCCGAACCTAGAACACGTAGACCCGGTGGAGGGGCCTCCAGAGGGTCAACCATGGCAGGGGTTGACCCTGTGGAGGCCCCTCCACCGGGTCCACATAAAGTACCGTTTTTGCTCCTGGGTTCTTGCCAAGATAGATGCTCTACAAAATGGCCCTGTGATTTGTATATGTGGGGATGTCTCAAAATAGGAGTGCCCCAAGCTCACTTTTTTTAGTTAGAAAAGAAGGGCTTGGGGCACTCAGTTGTGGCGCCCCTGTTCTGAGACATTCCCATGTTTTATAAGATCCTGAATGCACTGGTTTGATCATTTTTTGACAAAATTGTCAAAATATTTGTGGATCAAAAGAGGTGACAGGCACTACCATTTTGTAGAGCCATGGGTTATAGACAGACCATTTTGTAGGAGGGAGACTGTGTACCGGAGCTATTTTGTAGAGAAAAGGGCTGGTTCACTACAAAATGCCCCCTCCCCCACCTCACCCATGAAATGGCAAGGGGGATGTACTGTGCAGATTAGTTTAAACGTTGTTCTTATAAATTCAAAGCTTTGATAGTCAGTATAAAATTCCATTGTATGATTGTCCGTTCTGTTATTTGATGCGCCTAAACATTTATGGTTCTTTGTTCAGGAGCCGGATGTGTCGGCAGAGATTGAGGCGGAACTGAATGCAGGAGCTACTGCTGAAAACCTTCAGGGATCTGCAGTTTCGGAGACTGTGGGTGAGCCAGTGGGTGAGGAAGTGGGTGAGCAAGCATCTGAGTCGAATGCTGCGGTTGCGGTGGCGGAAGAAGTCCATGCAAACTCAGGTGAAAAGTGTTGCATTTGCCAGCAGCCTCTTCGTGGCTCTGAGGGTCCTGTGATGCCTTCGGAGGCAACTTTGTGCGGGCATGTTCATCACCAGCAGTGCCTGGAGAGCTGGTGGAATTTCCAGAACTGTCGTGGAGCTTGTCCTTACAAGTGCCAGCAAAGTGTGCCCATGGATATCTTGGCCAACAATGTGTCTTCCTCATCTTCAGCTCATGAGACTCGTGAGCAATCTCCGGATGATGATGACATTGTCGAAAATCTGGTGCAGGAAGTGGAGATGCGCGACCCTGTCCCCGCTCCAATGGTTTTGTGAGCAGATTGAGTGGCAGGAGGGCGAGGTTCTGAGCATTCACCTCTGACGTATGTGTAGTTTGTTTTTGATGTGGTTGGCTAGGCGTTTTTTTGATGGAACTCCCATCAAATTTAGAATTATGTTGAAGCGAGAGCCACATGCAGTGACCCAAGGGGAGGTCACCTTGCAGGTTCGCTAGGTGGAATATGAAGGTATGACATGGCATGGATATTAGCGTTTTAGTTTCATAGTTCATTGGAACTTTTACGCAGTTGCCGAACGATTGTGACGGAGATCGTCAAAAAAAGAGTACGTCCGATCGTCCGATAAGGGATCACCGTCGCTCAAATTTGCTCAAATTTGCTCAAAGTTGCTCAAAGTTGCTCAAAGTTGCTCAAATTTGCTCAAAGTTGCTCAAAGTTGCTCAAAAAAGCTCATGTGGCTCAAAGTCGCTCAAAGTTGCTCAAAGTTGCTCAAAGTTGCTCAAAGTTGCTCAAAGTTGCTCAAAGTTGCCCAAAGTTGAAAAAAAAAGTTGCTCAAGAGAAACATAATCAATCAAGACATGAACCAATATCTTGTATCATTTCTCCTTCAGCAATTGTCAATTAGTGCTGATGGACGGCATTCTCAAAGCGGTGAGGGAGAAAATCGAGATTGAGAAACAGCTCCAGCATCAACTGGAGACATGTAGCGCAGATATCTGTGCAGCGATGTTTGAAGAATTTGCACCGTTTCCTCACAATTCCAACGGCCAACTCTGTTGGCCCGCTCACTGGGATGCTGATGTTGGAGATTTGCGCAAACACTTGCTGAGATTCTTTGAGTACGATGACTGCTTTAGTGGATGCAGAGCTCAGCGAATGTGGCCATTGTACCTGGAAGCGGCTTTCCCGTTCATGCGAGGGATGCCTTTGATTGACATGCTGACGAGCCTTGTGGTGCGCACATGGCACCATCGTTCCTGTGGCAAAGCTTGGTTGCAGAGTGTAGAGTTTTTCTGTGGCAAAGCAAATCTGTCCTTAGCTGCTTTGGAAGCAGGACTCAAGGCTGCTGCAATGGATAAGACCTTGAACCCGGAACACAATGTGTTGGAAGCACCAGGCCTGAGGCTTGCATTGCTGTTGCTCACGGCTACAGTGCCAGGAGCTCTGGAGTGGCTTGGAAGCCCTTGCAACAGCTATGTGGTCCTGTGCAGAGCGCAATCACTGCGATCAGCTGACAATATGTACCTTGGAGATGAGAGCAAATACTTTGTCCTGGAAGGAAATTGTTTGGGCGACATCTCAGCACTTCTTGTGCTGCTGGGGGTCATGACCTTGTTGCGTTTTGGATTGGAGCAACCGCAAAACTCGGTGCTTCCTTATAGTGGATGCATGGCTGCCGTCTTGCGCTATGTGGAAGCTGAGCAGACCCTGACCTACCACTACTGTTTTGGTGGAGAAACGTTGAAGCCTCTTCAGCTTTGGAGTTGTGATCCATTCATTTGCGCACTGGGTCGACCGAAGCCTTCTTGTTGCTACCATGTTGGAGAAGAGGGTGGATTAGTGAGCCGTGATAATGAGGGCGGGTTCACAGGCCATAAGGAACGCCTGAAAGAATCCCAAGCTTATTCTAAGGAATTTGGACGTGCAATCGTTCGGGCTTTCCTTTCTCACCAACAGCAGTAGTTTGCGCCTTGAGCTTTGGTAATTAATCATAGTATAGCTGCAAGGAGTTGTGTTTCTGCTGGCAGCTCCCAAGCATGCCAGTGTCGGCATTCATTCTTTTCAGCCGTGTGTGCAGTGAAATTGGCAGAGTGAAAAAATGTGTTCAGGCCAGGTCCTGTGAACCACTGTTCTGGAATTAGTTCTTGATACCAAGCTTTGCACTCTAGTTTTCGACCACATTGTTCGACTCACAGCATTGAAGATTACAGTTTCTGCTGTCAGGTGACAGGTGGCTGGTCCACTGTTGTTGGCCGAAATCTCAGACCTATTTAATCAATCAAGATCACGTGCGTGTCAAAGAGATGAACATTACTGCTAGTTGTAGAAGAAAAGACCAAGCTAAACCAGATGAATGTCTTTCTCAGTGGAATGGTAAAATCATACATCAAGTCAATGATTGCATCGCGCAAGACTAGCTGACTAGCTTTCTGTGAGCGTAATTGCGACAAGGTTTTTGTCCAGCCAAATCAGACAGAGGTTGAACTGTAGACCTGATATGTGAGCAACCTGCAGTTTTATTCTTCATTATTCTTCAGCTGTGCATCGCATTTGCCTTCAGTTTGTTTAAGCAATGGGTGCTGATCAACATCCCAATAGAGAAGTTCCAGCTGAAGTTGACCCAGAACTTCGTCTTCACAAAAGGCTGCACATCGCTTGTTTGATTATCAAGAAGTATGAGCAGGTGGGTGTCGCTCCGCCGCTGGAACTCATGGACTATGTGGAGCCTCACATATCCAAGCGTGTCTGGGAGAAAGCGGCTTGGCGTGCAAGGCACATGCTTGCGGAGAGATGTGAGCTTGAAGCCTGAGAAAAACCATTGCCGAACCTTCCACTTAGACATGTTACTCTTGAGTCAGTTTTGAATGTCAGCCAGTTGGTCGTTTTGAGAACAGCATGGCATGATTTTGGTTTGAGTCTTTGAACTTGCAAGCAGATGGTTCAGCAGCGACATTGCCAAATTAGATATATAGCGATTAGATCGATTAATTCAATGTTAGTGCTGGTTTCCTTGGTTGATTTCAATCGAGGGCTTTGAAGCGTATAACTTTGCCACCTGATCTGTACAGATGTTTAGGTGTAGGAGTGTGGGATATTCAAGCTGAAGCAAAAGGGAAGAAATATGGCGTCGCTCGATCGAAGACGATGACTGTTTGTCAAGTTGCTGACTTTGGTAGGCTTTTGTTAAAGCTATGGTCTGTGCAATCAGCAGTTTTCGATAGGTGGGAACTTCGAATCGTTGATTCCGAAATAATTCCAATCCTTGGGTTGCAGCCTTTGTCGCACAGTATCCCTAGATACTTCCACGCCCATCATAGGGCAATGCCACTAGCTTGGAATCCTGGAATGTAGTTTCATTTGTCTTCAGGCAGTTTGCGGTGCGTTGCTAAGATTTTACTTCAGTAACTCTTCAATAGCGGACCGCACCAAGTCAAATGAGCGACCAGAGACAGAAAACAATAGAGTGAGTTTTTTTGCGTTCCGGAGATGATGTGATCTGTCTTGTGCTCATGACTGAATTTTGCATGTTGTTGATTGCAAGTGCTGAGGTTCATAGTCGTTTCCAATTTAACATTCGTGCTTGACATGGTTTTGGCAGATATAATACAGTTAGGAGCAGTCGAGAAGCAGCATGTGTGTATGTTGTCACTGATGCAGGACATTTGAAACATGTTGTGCAGTAACATTACAATGACACTGAGAGCGATAGTGATGGATGGTAGTACTGGTACCTGTGGCGAGTTGGGTATTAACACAACCAACAATATTGGTGAGTGATGAATCAACACTGATGACTTATGAATAGGTCGGCAGTTTGTGACCTTATATGCTTTTACTTGAGCAATGTGAGCAGCTGTCACTCAATGGTGATAGTGCTTTGCTGTCCAAAGCTGCGTTTCGATTTCAGAGGGATGCGGTAACACCTGCTCAGCTGTGGTGGCGCCTGGACCTTCTGCATGAGAAGTTGATCAGCAAGGGAGAAAAGAGAAAGTTATACAGATGGGTTTGCTTTTTGAAAGATGCAGTTAGTCAAACAAAGCTTTTGTCCGGGAATGATGTGTGCAAATGGCTGCACATGAGAAGTTCCGACCTTCCGCACAATGCATTGCCACACCATGTTGCTACATCTACAGGCCTGATTGCTTTCATTGCTTTTGTTTTGCGAGACGGCCGAACTTCGTCAATCATTGACTTTTGTCGGAGTTTACTTGCAAACATTTGTGCTCGTGCAGTTGCTCACTTGACTGGGCCAGTCGAAATCATCATCGGTGATGACATTGCGCCTCTTCGTGTTTTACCTGGCGGCTTAGTGCAAGGCTTGGCCGATGCAATTTCAAGCAGGCACGCGATGGTGTGGCAGACGTGGCAAAACGAATGGCTGGCCATGCATGAGCAGCAAGAGCTTTCCTCTCTGCCAGATGACGCTTCACTTCTCCTGACTGATCTTGTGAAATTCTCTTTTGAAATCGACAGAAGGAGAAGGTCGACAAACAAACACATTTGGCCACGTGATAGCCAGACAGGGATGACCCTTCACAGTGTGTTGAAAGGGTTGGTTGTGTTCCTGAGTCATCATTTGGATGACTTTGTCTTGAACTACTTTGTTCATGAGCATGACTGTTCCGAAGCTGTGCCCTCGAGACGTCGTTCCAATGGCGGTGGAGAGGTTGCCAAGCGGATTCAAATGTCAGCTGACACCATTTTTGAAATCATCCAGGATGCAAAAGATTCTGGCCTGTCGATGCGGGAGGCTGTCAATTTTTTGAAACGCAGTGGCAGGTTATCAGCTGCTGCTGGCACTCATCCCAACGCTACTGATGCTTGGATGAGAAGACATCAAAAAATATACGATGACCGAGCTGTGATTGCATTCGCAGGGACCAATCATCTGAACCTGATTGCCGACGGCTCCAAGCATGCGGGGAAAGAAGTTCTTGTGACAGTTGCGTACTCCTGGGAGAACAATACAGCCGCATTTGCTCCTGTCCAGGTCATAATGCCGCTGGACGATATCGCCCCTGGTGAGATGGATTTGACAAGCCTCATTGAGAAGCTCGCCAAGGATGTGTGACAGTGAAGGTTTTTATTTCGAATGAAAGTTATCATAAGAAATTGTAGTATTACCAGTTATCAGGACAAGGCTGATGATCATTTTGAATTGAATGTACGGTTGCTTTGATCTTAATGCTGTCTATACTATTATATATGCTTTCGAACAAGTTTCCCACACTTTAGCTGTTGGGAGGTTTGGAAAAGTTGAATATGTGTCTGAGACTGAAGTGTCTTTGGGAAGGGTTGGCTTGTTGGGTTCTAACGCATTCCCCGTTTGCAGGAGAACAAATTGCAGCGTGTTGCATCCTACCGTCATCTGCAAGCGGTGAGCCACCAGGTGAACTTACTGACAGCAGGACGCCTGTCTGGCCTTGACAACTTTTCCGTTCCCAGTGATATATGCCTATCTGCAGTCCAGCCGGGACATGACCGTTTGATCCACCGAGAAGGGCCGAGAAATCGTGTGTATCACAAGTGCCGGGCTTCTGGGGATGAAGATGCCTTGATGCCGCAGAATGCGGACTGGTGGAAAACACTGCCTTTGCTAGTTTTACAGTTTGACCAGGGTCCAACATGCACTGGAGCTGCAGCGTGCCTTGGCCGAAGCAATTCAATTTTGATTTGCAGATTAATTAAGTAAGTGCGATTTTGGTTGTTTACTTGTTGCCTGTTGGGAAGTTGATATGTCATCCTGAATCCTGAAAAGTACTTTGTTTTCGCCAATGTCCCAAGGTACGCTATTCACCACCTTGGAAAGTTGATATCCGTTCGCTGGGACATATACCATCGCAGTATCCGCGATGTCAAACTCTCTTTGCTGCACTGCAGTGGTGGTGTGTTCTTGCAGGCCCAGATGTATTCTCAATACATCTGGGCCCTTAGCTACCGACCGTGCGGGACATCAGGCTTTCATGAGGACAAGTTGCGGCTCCTGGATGTGATGATGAGCAGGGAAGACCCTGAGTCCTGTGCCCTTTTTCACGATTGCTGGGAAACGATCCGAGATGACCTTGGTATGCCCTCATTCTCAACGATGCATGATGTTTGGCGAAAACTCCCAACAGGTGATGCTTTTCAGTCCAAGGGAACTCTTCCCAAGCTGAGCAGATGGTTCAGCTGGAACCAATCATGTGAGGAGCAGCTGCCATCGTGGAACATCTTGAAGTTGGTGCTGAAGTACCATTTCTGGGAAAAAGACATCGACCCAGATGTTGCTGCTCAGAAACGTGAGCTCGCTGCGATTGCCCAGATGGATGATCCGAAGGAAGAAGAGAAAGTGAATGTTCGGAAGCAGTTTTCGCTTCTCAAGGAAAAGCTGGGAGGGGGGCTCAAACTGGCTCTCTACTGCCTTTCTGATCGCCTGTGGCAACAAGTTCAAATACTCCAAATGGTCAGTCGGCCAACTTGGACTTGGTACAGCGCATCGGTTCGAAACATGAAGAACAGTCAAGACCATGTTGAGCGGCTGATGGCATTGGCCCAGTACTGGCAGCAAGATGAGCATCTGCAGAGTACTGCAGCTGTGCCAACCGCCAAAAGCCCAGAACTGCTGAACTTACTTCATAGACAGGAGTTTGCGAGTTTCACAGATACGGCAGAGAAGACATTTGACCTCACGACGCATCTCCTCATGCACCGCACATGGAGTTTGAGTCGCGCAAGTGCGCCGCCTGACTGCTATTCAGAACTCTTGCACCCTGACATGCAGAAGAAGCAGGCGCGTACTTAGGGCAAACGTATTTACTGCTTAGTTTCAATGGTAACTATTACTACATAAAACATGCAGTTGAAATTGTCCCCATTCGTGAGATGCCGACCATATTATGATATGATTAATATGCGCAAACAACTATACTATAGTAGTAATAATTACTATAATAATATAGTTTTCAAGGGCTATCAGATCCAGACCAGTTCTACCATTCCGACCAGTGGATTCTCCTCTTGACTTGAAGTGGCAGGCCGCTGCGGACATGATGAAGCAAGACCACCAGGCTCTTCTGCAATTGGAACAGTGTCTGGCTGATTCCGGGAAGGCAATGCAGCTTTTGGAGGACCTGAATCAGGTATTCACGCCGCCTGTGCGACTGATGATGCTTGCCTATGAAGAAGATTTTTACAGATGCGATTCTCAAGCTGGAGGGCATCTTCTAAGTGGTCTTGTCTGCACATTACCGGGCAACAAGATCATTGAAGATCTTCACAGTGTTCTGCGCAACGATTCAAAGTCACAAAAGACGAGGCGCCAAACACTGCACAACATGATGGAACTGGTCACGCAGTCGAAGCAGCTGTCAAGCCGCGACATTGTGCACAAGCCAAAGGTCGACAAGGCTGTGTTCCTACAGGCTTTCCCACGAACGCCTGACCGAAAGCGCAAGAGGCTGAAGTTGCGCATAATTTCAGATTATATAATTCATTAATGGGTCGGGTTTTCAATTCAACTTCAAGTCAAATCAAAGAACGTAAAAGGCGATGCAGGCGATGGCTTCACCATGTTGTTTGTATTCCACGTTCAATGTTGTTTTGTTCCTGGCTGTTCCAGCATCTTCAGTCAGGCGCTGTTTTGCTCGAAACCACAAACTGCCCGAATCCTGGTCTACAGTGATGGGCCGGAAGCAGTGGTCTACAATCTCTGAAGAGGTGCTTCACAGAGGCTTTGCAGCGCTGGCTTTCCTCCAGGCTTACACTTCGGAACGAATGGGTGAGCAAGGGCTTCGACTAGCAGAGGGCCGGTTATCAAAATTTGCAGTGCAGCTTCAGTTCCTGCAGCAGGTCGACACTGGCTATGTCGGTTTTTGTCTTGGCAATGCTTGCTGGGGATGCCTCATGTGGCCCGTTTTGGAGTTTCATGATGAAGATTCAGGTTTTACTGGCTACTATTTGTCGCCAACTGGTGAAGCTCACTGGAAATTTCTTGTAAACCCAATGGATTGGATGGTGGTGAGCGCCAGCGCTCAAGTTTTCAACGACCAAATCTTTATGGTGATGAAGAGCAAGGAGACATTGCTTCGATTTTTCTTTGCAGACGTTTCCTTGCACAAAAATGTGACAGTGGCAGACTTGCAAATCCTTGGTGGCTTTTTCAAGCTTGATGTTGAAGAGACAAAGAGGTTGAAGCGAGTGGACTTGATCCACAAACTTGTAGATGTGATTGGGGGCCGAGATGTAGATTTCATCAATGCAATCAAGTCCGCTATGCAGAAGCCGGAGAAGCCTCAAAAGCAAATTGGAGATGAGTTAGACGAACTCATTTTGGGAGAGCTGCCAGCCGAAGACCAGGATGACTTCAAGTTGGTTGCCCAAGTGATTGAGAGCAAACAGAAATCAGGCTGGAGCTTAGTCGAATCTCAATGGAAAAAGGCTATGGCGAAAAAGAAGCCAAGGGCCAAGGGAAAGGCCAAGGCGAAACCCAAGGCGAAACCCAAGGCCAAGGCCATTGGAAAATTCGGGCGAAAAGGAAAGGCTTCGGACATGGCCGATGACAAGGCAGCACTGTGGTTTTGAATTTCAGAGATCGTTTTTTCCCACCGCCTGCCAGGTGAGGGTTTTTAGTATAGATTTTATCACAGTTGTTCTCCTCCTCCTCCTCGTTCTCCTCCTCCTCCGCCTCCTCCTCCTCTTCCTCCTCTCCTCGTCCTCCTCGTCCTCCTCCTCCTCCAGTTTCTCCTCCACCTCCGCCTTGCCAACTCTTCACTTCGCCAAGCTCTTCGCCAACTTCCGTACGCAGTGGGCACTGCTGGACCTCAACTGCAAGGGTCTGAGTGCACTGGGCACCCCTGGACCTCAACCTCGAACCGTGAGTGAACACCGCTGAACTTCAACCTGGAACCTTCCGAGCTCAGTGAGCACCGCTGGACCTCAACCTGGGACCCGCCGAGCTCAGTGAGCACCGCTGGACCTCAACCTGGGACCTTCCGAGCTCAGTGAGCACCGCTGGACCTCAACGGCCAGATAGAATGCCAGAAAATATAATATGCCAGATAGAACGCCAGATAGCATGTCAGATAAAATGCCAGAAGATATGCCAGATAAAATGCCAGAAGATATGCCAGATAGAATGCCAGAAGATATGCAAAAATGGTATGCAAGTTAGAATGCCAAAAGCTATGCCAGATAGAATGCTAGAAGATATGCCAGATAGAATGCCAGAAGGTATGGCAGATAGAATGTCAGATAGAATGCCAGCAGGTATGCCAGATAAAGTGCCAGAAGGTATGCCAGATAAAGTGCCAGAATGTTTGCCAGATAGAATGCCAGAAGATTTGCCAGATAGAATGCCAGATAGGATGTCAGAAGATATGCCAGAAGATATGAACTCTCTCATGGAACATGATAGATTTTTACATACTACGAAACGTGAAGAATGTAATGTTTCATTACATGCCTGTGGTGACTTTGAACAACATTGGAGATGAGAATGTCAAATGGAAACTGAACTTTAATGGATCTTGAGGATGGGATTTTACACAACGTGGATAGCACCTTCTTGGGCGTAAAACTTGAAAGGCTCATTTCAAAAAAAAATGAGACGGCCTAAAAAACCTCAACGGTATAACTGGTTTGTTATTACATTATGTTCACCAACCATGAAGACGATAGGTCCCCAAAAAGAGTGGTTGGGGACCTATCGTTTTAATCCCCGCTGTGTCTTCCCTGTAGCGGTGATCCGAATGCAACGAACTGGTTTGGAAAACAAGATGAATTGTGGTTTTTTAGGATCAAGTGATTAGAACAAGAAGGTGGTTTTCTTCCAGTGAACATCTCTTCGATCTTCTTGTGTTTACAGTGATGATTTGTCGAATTTTTCACTATGTTGCAATTTTGGATTCAAGCTTCAAGTGAAGCATTGTGGCAAGTGCCACAGAAACGACATGGCAAGTGCCAAGACTCATGTCTTTATTTCATTTCAACACTTGACATGTCAATCAATTCACGAAAGTAAACATGAACAAATTCACAATCATCAACATCATGTTCACTTTCAGATTTTTCGTCCCACCCATTCTTAACCCATCCCCAAGTTCATTGCCAAGTGATGCAATGACTAACATGATCCAAGTGGATCTCATTTCCTTTTCTCTCTACACTTAGCCATCCAATGGCCGAACCGTCGTTACAAGCTCTCTTTCAACAAGTGTTTGTCACACAATCCTTTCTTCATCAACTGCAGACCGCGGAGGAGTTCATCAGTGACATTTCAGATCACCTTGACGAATTTGAAGTCCCGCATGAGGACAACTACATGCAGATCCGCACAGGCATCCGCCAATTGCGTATCCACTTGAACTTCCTCCTGGCCATCCAGTTGCTTGAAGTGTGCCGTGGCCTTGAACGCTACATGCAACGGCACGGTCGTTTACCCAATCTCGACCTCAACTTTCAGTGACATCGCTGTCGAACGTTACGTTTTTCCATTTGCATCTTCTGGCACGTGCCTACCCGAAGCCAGAGCGCGATGCATGACAGTGAGACCAATTCTCCCCATTGTCAAAAGAGCGTTTTGCGGCAGCAGTGTTTTGATGTTTCATGTTCGGTGAATTTCACAGAGATTTCTGTAAATGAAACCACGTTTCCGAGTTGTCACCACAGCGAACGTTTCGATGCTATGTAAGTCAGATAGAATGCCAGATGGAATGCCAGAAGATATGCCAGAAGATATGCCAGGTAGAGTGCCAGAAGATATGCCAGATAGAATGCCAGAAGGTATGTCAGATAGAATGTCAGAAGATTTGCCAGTACCAAAACGTATAAATGTCATGGTGGGGATCGCTCGAAGTAAAGTAATTATTGTTATTTGGTGTTTCGCTTTTGTGATTGCAGCATTAAGTCGGCAATCTCTTGCTTGCATTAAGCAATGTAGGGGACTCAGATGATTTAATCATGTCCAGCCCGCCGCTAGACTGGCAGCCAGGCATATTGTAATATAAAATTACATTATCAGATTTGCTTCGGAGTATCATCATCAATTCGGGATTAGTCTAGGGCCCTCCAGACCCGAGCACGAGTGCATACTTCATTCATTGAATGTATTCCCCAGTCGACTAATTGAGTCGTAAGGTGTCCAAGTAGAAACATATGACAAGTGCCAGACAACTGCGAGTACATTTTACATATTCACTTTAAAAATTGATGCGACTCAGAACCCTCAGCATTCCGCATGCCAGAATATAAATATAACGCTAGAACATCTGTGAGAATGTGTTTACATGTATGATAGCACATTTAGAAATGAGCTGTTTATAATTTGTCAAAGTAATCATATGCCAGGCAAGGGCTTGTGAAAATGTATGGCAAGTACGAGGGCATCATATGAACCAACAAGTGCGCCCAAACACTTGTCAGATAGCTTCAATGGGGAGATCACATGAAGCAAAGCAGCTTTTTGTAACATGCTTTTGCTTGACTGAGGCAGAGCCGTCGCCTCCAGCGCCAGATGCTGCAGGGCAGCGACCACTTCGAGACAATGAGGCTCCAGAGAATGCTCAGGCCGAGCAGCCAGAGGAGCCAGAGCTAAACCCCAATGATTTAGCAGTTCCAATGGAAGATGATGTCTTACCTGCAGCTCCAGCAGGAGCTGAACCTGAGGGCCCAAGGCTCGGCCCAGATGAAATTGATGATGATACAGTTCTGGCTGATTTGCGAGACAGCGGTGCTGGTCGGATGGCACCTCGAGCCCCAGCTCCTCGTCAGCACCGAAGTCCAGCTGAGATCTTGGAGCAAATTTCACCACCGGGGATTGTTTTGCGGCTGTCCTTCAACGACCACCGATTCAAGGCTGAGACTGCAACTTTTTTGCATGTGCATTTGCGCTCGCTGGCTTCACCTTTTTCCCAAAAGAGCTATTCCAAATCCTTTGGCAGTGGTGTGGGCCTGTCTTGGAAAGATGCTTTGGTAGATGTACATAGCCATGCCTGGCAAAAATACCAGCGCTTGAAAGACAAAGGCCACATCGAAGAACATGTCGAGTTTCAACGTGCGGTCGAGCCAGCCATTTTGGACCTGCTCGAACCTGAAATTTTGAAGATGCCTCCTCCCACTAGATACGATAAGAGGAAATGATCAAACAGTTGAAACTGTAAGGTTACCATACAAGATTGCATACACATCAACTGCAGAAGCCTGTTTTCACCATTTGGCGAGTTTCCTCAAGTTCAGGACCTGTCAGAAACTTTTTGTCAAGCCGTGTGGGTTTGCGTCGTGCAAAGGGTGGCAGCAACTGCAAGGTTTATCGAATCTTAAATTATATGTGTTTGAAACATGTTTCGGAACATATTGACGTTTGTAGTCATCAGCAGCTTTGTTGACAAGTATTCCACCACATGGACTGCTATTTTTCCATCGGTGATCCGAGGCCAAAGATGAGTGAACACTCCCAGCCGAACGTCTCACCAACTTTGCTACGGATTTCAGGTCAGTGTCATACACCATTGAAGACATAGCCCCTATTGTAAAAGTTTCCATGTATCAATTTAGTGTTGAAACTTATAGTTATATGTAAATGTATATATATATATAAAGCTGTCACTGTACATGTACCATATACAGAACCCTTTGTTTTGCGATGGCTGCAGGTCATCAGCACTTGCTGTTTCACGCGAATGGTCCCGGATCAGAAAAGCAGCATTTGCCTTTTTTTAAACTCAAACATGTCTACATTGAGCTCATTAGGGGTGTATTTGAGACATATGAATTTGAAGCACCCTTCAGATCTAAGCCTCCCTGATTGGAGGGCCTACTTTTTTCTAATGAATGAAAGAAGTTCATTGAATGAAATGAATGAAACGAATGAAACGAATCTATCGAATGAAACGAAACCAAAAAATGAAATGAATGAAATGAACGAAAGGAATGACATGATTGAAAGGAATGAAATGACTGAAACGAATGAAAGGAATGAAAATGAATGAAACAAATGAAACGAATGAATCAAATGAAACAAATGAAAAGAACCAAACGAATGAAGCGAATGACATGAATGAAACGAATGAAGCGAATGCAACAAAAGAAATGAATGGAATGAATGAAATGAACGAAAGTAATGAAATGATTGAAATGACTGAATTGAATGAATTGAAAGAAATGAGCCAAATACATGAAATGAATGAAATAAATGAAAGGAACGCAAGGAATGAAATAGCTGAAAAGATTGAAGCGAATGAAATGAATGAAAGGAATGAAATGAATGAAATGAAGGAAGCGAATGAACTAAATAAAACACATGAAACGAATGAAACAAATGAAAGGAATGAAACAAAAGAAACAAATGAAATGAACGAAATGACTTAAATGATTTCAATGATTGAAATGAGTGAACTGAATGAAATGAAAATGACATGACTGAAATGAATGAAATAACTGAAATGTCTCAAATGAATGAAACGGATGAAACAAATGAATCACATGACATGAATGAAATGAATGAAATGAAAGAAATGAAAGCAATGAACGACATGAAAGAAATGACATGAACGAAACGAATGACATGAATGAAAGAAATGAAATCA